AACCATAACACTATAGTACTAGTAACATCAATAACACTAACAATAGCAATACTACTACTACTAAGAGCCATTCACATAGACTTCTGGCGCTCCGCGCGGATTTCGTGGATAGGCGCTGGGCCCCCCCTGGCGGCGCCTCCGGCGCCAGGGAGGGGGTCCAGCGGAGATCCAAGAAATCCGCGCGGAGCGCCAAATAGTTTATGTTCATGGCATTTTTCTTGTCTCTTCTAGTCGAAGGGGAGGGGGGGGGGAGGACCAGAGGCGGGCGTTGCCAACTCTCCCCAGGATTTCTGGAGAGACCCCCAAGGCCTCCAGAGCACCCTTCACGAGGCCCAATGGGCATCAGGGGGGCCGGAAGGGAGCGAAAAGCTGGGGGTGCCTCGGGCCAGAGATTCAAAACGCCACGCCCGACCAGGGGCGTGTGGATCGAAGACGCCTACGGCGATTCACCACCGCACCCTGTCTTTCGGAAACGCCCATGCGGAATGGCCGACGTCTAGCTATTGGGCTATGTGTTTCCCTAGCCGTTGTGGAATCCCTCGGGGGGGACACCTGGGGCAGGAAGAGAAAAGAGGAGGAGAGGGAGGACGAGGAGGGTGAGGAAGGAGGAGGAGGAGGAAGAGGAGGACCAGTGTAAACCCAAGACTCATCAATGACGTTGGAATACAGCCTCCCTCCAAGCTCCCTCTTCATAGGCCCCTACAGGGGTTCATTTTCATTGAGGGAATTGCTCCGTAGGAGGGCAACCGTTTTAAGATCCTGGAGCGTACCGAAACACCATTCGAAGGGTTGCAACTCCACGAGTTAACCTGACTGGTAGGTTTTGGCGACCCTGAATCGCGCCAGAACACCATTCCTCGGACTTCAACGCCGCGAATCAGCTTACCTGTTGCGCCCTGACAATCCCGAATCGTTCCGAAACGCCGTCTCTGATACGTTAACCATGAGAATCAGTAAAACTCTCGCGAATGTGTGAAACGAATGTGCGCGGTAATAAGGCGAGAGCCACATTTTGAACAGGAACCACCTTCAATCTGTGAAACTCTTGCAATTGCTTAAAACGGAATTGCGCGGCGCTAAGGCGAGAGCCACATTTGCAAAACGACCCGCCCTCAATACGTCGACATCCAGGCGCATTTTTCAAACGAATGTGCGCGGCGCTGAGGCGAGAGCCACATGTTGAAAACGAACCGCCCTCAAACCTTGAAGCCCTGTCAACTTTTGAAAAACGAATGTGCGCGGCGCTAAGACGAGAGCCGTAGTTTGAAAACGACCCGCCCTCAAATCTGGAACCTCCTGCATTTTTGAACAAGTGTGCGCGGCGCTAAGGCGAGAGCCACATCTGAAAAGGACCCGCCCTCCATCTGTGTTGCCACTTGCTAAGCTTCAGGATGATACATGGTGAGGAAGTCTCAGGCGAAACGCCCGCCCTGGGGACTGTCTTTGTCTGCAACTCGATGATCAATCGTCGTGCGAGGCGAAGTCGGGAGAGGGTGCAGGAGCATGCGCCGGCAGTGATACAGGAACGCTTGTATACATACAGCGAGAGAGGGAGGGAAAAGAAAGAGATAAATTGAGACAGACAGACAGACAGACAGACAGACAGACAGACAGACAGACAGACAGACAGACAGACAGACAGGTACCACTTTCGAACACGTCTCGCCGCAGTCATTGTGGTTCAAGTAGTTGGGTCTCTTTGTAGAACATACATATCTGAAACGCGCCGCGGGCCGCGGGCGCCATGGGCAAGAAAGCCGCCCGCAAGCAGCTGGATATAGCTCGTATGCCGACGACGACCAGTATTCCGTCTAAAGCGCAGCTCGCAGCGAAAGTCGAGGAAGAATATTCAGAATTCGAACCGCAAGCCGCCTCGAGCAAAGCCACCCCAGCCGAGAAATTTCAAGAACGTCGTGAGTGGAGGAAGAAACTCCTGGAGGATGAGGCGACCCAAGAGAAGCAGCGTAAAGCCAGTGTGTGTCTCGACAAACTTCATGGAGGCAGCTGTGTCATGAACAATCAAGGGGCAGGCGCGACGAAGGATGAGCAATTGCTTCTCCAGAAGCTTAGGGGAGGAAACCGTGTCTCGGCAGCTGGGATAGCCGCTCGTATTCGTGCCGACCGGTATGAGAAATACGAGCAGCAGTTGTCGAAGTATCTGTGAATGACGCGTGTCCAAGTGTTAAACGAGGAGCGCTGGCTCTCGTTTTTTCGGCACGTGTGACTAGGCGCCGTGCTTGCTTGGTGGTGCCGTCGGCTTGGTCGCGTCGGGCGAAACAAGTGCCCCGCTGCCTGCGGCAAGTCCCGCCGCTGCGCCAGCTCAGCGCACCCGGGGCGGCGACGAATCGAGGGGGCGCACGGCGAGCCGTGAGCAGAAAAACACACAGACACAATTCATCGTCGATCCCCAAGAAAATATGGGAAAATATTTGAAGTGAGGGGGAAGACAGAAACCCAGAAAATATGGGAAAATATGGGGGATCGTTTTTTTTTGGTGTGTATCTATTTGCGTGTCCCAGGGCCCCTTCATCCTCGTCCTTCGCGTCGGCCTCGTCCAGTGTGAGTCTGCCCTTCCTGCCGCGTTCTTCTTGCCCCACCTCCTTGCCATTACTCCTCCCTACTCCCGCCAGTATCCTTCGTGTGGCGACGGTTGGGTGCACGCCTGGAAGGTGGTAACTTGTGGCACTTCCGCCGTCTTGGGGCTGTGCTGGGTATTATGAGGCCGTTGTGGGGCGGACTAAAAGAACGATGCAACTGATGATGTTGCTGACAATGATGATGCTGATGATGCTGATGATGATGCTGATGCTGATGCTGATGCAGATTCCGATTCTGATGATGACAGCGGTGGTGATGTTGCTGATGATGCCGTTGACGGCAGTGATGATGTTCAAGAGGATGATGCTGGTGCGGATGATAATGATGAGTATGAAAATAGTGATGATAGTGATGATAGTGATGATGGTGATGATGGTGATGATGGTGATGACGATGGTGGTGGTAGTGGTGGTGCTGATGCTGATGATGGTGCTGGTCATGCGGATAATGCTGCTACTGATGCGGATCTCGTTGCAGGCCTGTCATAGTACGTGGCATGAGGCGTCCGAACGAAATATGATGCGGATGGTGGTGGCGATGTTCATGATGGCATACAGGTTGTCAATACTGATCATGACGAAGATGATGACGATGATGATGCTGATAGTGATGGTTGTGGTGGTGGTGATGCTGATGATGACTGCGATTATCGTGGCTTTGATGTTGATGTTGCTGATGTCTCTGATGATGATGACGATGATGACGATGATGACATGGATGGTGATGCCGCCGATTAGGATGATGATGCTGATGATGCTGCTGATGATGATACTTCTGCTGATCCTCACGATTGTTGGGTTACTAACAATGCAGCTGATGATTATCATGGCGATGATGGTGATACTTGTCTTGAGGCGATTGCGATGATGAGGATGAGGATGACCCTGTAGTTTATGACGTTGCATGTGACACTTGCCCCCTGCAGCGCCTCGGAGATGTGCGCGCGCATCTCCTGCTGCGCTGCGCAGCTTGCAGGGCAGAGTCCGTCAGATACGGCGGCATTGCCCACACATATTGTGCACCTGCTCCAAGGGCTGCCGTAGTCTACGGCTTGTACCTGGCCTGACTAGGGGGCCACATGCGAACCCTACCCCTACCCCCCACGATTTCTGAGGGGGAGGGTGGGGTTCATTTCGCTTGGGAGCTCCCGAGCGAAGTGAACCCCACCCTCCCCCTCAGAACTCGTGGGGGGTAGGGGTAGGGTTCGCATGTGGCCTCCTACTGACCTCACCTGTCATGTAACACCTGCTGTCACGAAGGCTCTCGAGCACCGCAAGCGGCTGCCTCCCGAGGCGCCGGAAGGCCCCCACGGGGCGCAGCGGTCCTCGAGCCAGCGCAGGCCCTCTCTGTGCGGCGAGGCCTCGGGCCCCGCCAGTGGGCCGCAGTGTGCGGCACCTTCCCCGTCCCCCGCCTGACGACAGCCGTGACGAGCTCGGAGGGCACCAACTACACACCAACACCGGTCCTGGCCCAGGATCATGGGCCCAGGATCGGTGTATATGCCTTCTTGCGCAAGGCAGGAGGGCGTATACACCGATCCTGGGCCCAGGGTGATCCTGGCCAGGATCGGTGTTGGTGTATAGTTGGTGCCTTCCTACGAGCGCGACACGCTCGTCCGTGTCGTGTCGGGGTGTCTCGCCTCGCCCTCGCCGCCGTCTTCCCCGCCCTGTCCTCCGACGTCCGGCGTGCTTCTTCAGAGATCCGGGCGTCGTTGCCCGATTTCGGCCCCTGGGGTCCGTCCCCGGGCTCCAGGACCACTCAAAACGGATCCGGGACGAAAAACACTGGGAGGAGGAGGAGGAGGAGGAGGAGGAGGAGGAGGAGGAGGAGGAGGAGGAGGAGGAGGAGGAGGACGAGGAGGAGGGCCGTCGGAGGGTTTGGGTCCCTCCTCCCCCCTCCTCTCCCTTCTGTACCTGCTTCTCCTCCCCCCGCGGCACGATGAGGTTGCGAACAGGGTGGCCTTCCCTGGGGCCTCTTCGGGGCCTGTCGGAGGCCTCTTAAAGGGGGCCTCTTGGGGGGCGTCTTTGGGAGCGTGTCTTCGCCTCTGGGAAACGCCTCGGGCCGAACTCGGGGGCGCTTGCGCCGTCTGTTGCCCTCGGCGTCCATCTTGGAGGGCCTCTCTGGACCGTCTTGGGCTCCCCTGGACCATCTTGGGGCCGTCAGGGGGACCTCTTGGATCATCTTGGGGCGCTCTTGGGCCGTCTTGCCCTCTTGGGAATTTTCTTCCGTAGCCATTGTGGCTCAAGCCATTTTGGCTCAAGGTTTTGGTATCCTAGGGGAAAAAGTGGATACCGCTAGTCCGCGGCCAGCTTTCTGTCTTTTCTGCCTCCTCAGTGTAGCTCCGCGCTGCTGTGGTTGGCCAACACCACGACACCAGAGTGCCCCCGAGTCACGGTGGGTGCATGGCGCCGAATGGTTCTCGCCCTGTCCCGTGGACCAAGCAGCAGCTTGCGAAGGGATACGGTGAGTGGTGGAACTGGAATGTGCATCCACCGCTGCCAGGGGATGTCGTCCCGCAGTGGGGAGCCAACACATGGAGGAGCCGTCAGTTTCGCCCGATGGTGGAGTGCGGAAAGTGCGGCAGGTGGCTCTTCCAGGAAAGGCTCAAGGCGAAGAAGTGGACTTGTGAGTGTGGGGCGCGCTTCCATGCTCTTGATTGCCCTTCTGAGCGCAGTTCTGGGGGCGGTGGCACCAACAGTGCAGTCCAGCAGTTGCAGGCGATCGCAGCAGAGCTGGGCACAGGGGGTGCTGACGTCAGCGCCAAGAAGGCCGTCGAGTCCCTCTTCGCTGCCCTGCGGGGTCCTACTATCGAGGCCAGGCCCAGGCCACCCGGGCAGGCTCTACAGGTGGCCACTGCAGGGCTCCAGCGAGGCCGCAGGGCGCTGGAGACGGCCACGGAGCAGTGGCAGAGGGCAGCGCAGGAACTTTGAGAGGTGCGAGGAGAACCTCAAGCAGAGAAGGAGGGCATTCAGAGAGCCAGAGCGTTCCTACATGTCGAAGAACCAGCGCAGCGAGGAGCAGTGTTGGACATTCAGGAGGTGCTCGACGGCAGAACGGACTTGGAGATCAGCCGGAGGGTGGATCTGGAGGGACTTGGGCCGGCCCAGCAGGATCATGATGTCCTCAACAAGGCAAGGTCGGCCCTCCAGGACATGTTGCAACAGGTTGTTCGCGAGTCCTACGGGAAGATCAGTGTAGCGGTGCAGGAACATAGGTTAAGGTGATTTATGTCTTGGGGCGCGCCCAGAAGACACGAAAGAGTAACGAGGGCCAGACCCATGCACGCGGGGCAGTGTCAGTGGAGTCGACTGGCGCAGGGGGGACCTCAGCAGCAGCAGCCGCCGCGGCTGGCCGAGGAGCGGCGGAGGGTCCTAGGAGCGGGGCTCTAGATGAGCCTGTCCCTCAGGCAGCCGCGGGTGCGCCAGCCAGTGACGAACGCCAGCAGCGCGGTGCGGCCACCAGATTGCAGCATGAAGTTGGTGGCATGGTCAAGTCGATGCGGGAGGAGTCGGGCACGCCGAGTGGGTGACGACGCCAAGACGTTGTATTTGAGGGATATGTCGGGATGGGGGCCGGCCTGCAAGAGCCTCGTTCGCGAGAAAGGAGTCGACACGATCATGGTTGAACTAGGTATGCTGCCAGATCAGCGCACATATGTTCTACATGAGTGGAGCGGATTGGGATGCCGACCGCTGGTTGCACCGTTGTATTAGTTCAAGTCGATCACCAAAACTAGTGGTATCTCTATGGGTGTGCTGAAGGGGTACCAGTTCCAGAGTTTCCGGCACCTGGCGAGCCAGCCGCAGATGCAGATTGGCCTTCGGCAGATCCGAAAGCCAAAATCTACCATGCCAGGGGCCTGTTTCCGAGATTTTGTTTGATGTCAAATCAAGATGGGTGGGAAGTGTATTTCCATGTGTGGCATCTATCTTCCGTGCGAGATAGAAGTGGGCGGCATGACTGTTTTTTAGTTGACCCAGTTGGATAGGTACTCTGCCCCAGTCCATCAAGACGCCTTGGATGGTGATCGGGGGCTTCAATGCCACCCCGTTGGGGCTTAAGGTCTGTCTGGCACTGGCCTGGGTTGGTCGACGGTTTGATCCGAGTGCCGACGGGGACAGAGTGCGCGGGCGCAGCTGGGCAGAAGCGCGAGCTAGACTACGCAGTCATCTCGCATTCCATGGTCCGGTTTGTAGTATCTATGCATCTACCTCACGAGTCGCGTTGTGGAGCGGGGAGGAGTCATGTCGGCGTCATCGCAGGGCTCAAGTTGCAGCTGGAGGAAGCACGGCGCTTGGCGCTCAGGATGCCTCGGCGGCTCCAGTTTCCGCCGAGGCCCAGGCGGAAAGGCGAACCCAAACAGCAAGCGCTCTCGCCAGAGACTTCTCAAGCAGCTTGCAGGTGCCGGGGGCGCGGATTAGCCGCCCGCCAGCGCGCCTATCGCTGCGATGGGGGCCGATGCAGTTCAAGATGCCGCCGCCGCTGCAGAACCGTGGCGTGCGGGGCTGGGGGCTTGAGGCAGACGGCGACATGGGCCTGCCGAGTGAACGCGAGACTGGCGGCGATATGGAGGGCCAGTTCGGGTGGGTGCTGGACGCCGAGGGCGTCGGAGGCGCGGCGATGGGTGCCGAGGCAGAGACCTCCGCAGACCCCGCTCCTCTTGGAGGCGAGGCGATGGGCGCCGAGGTGAGGGCCTCAGAAGACCCCGCCCCTCCCGCTGACGAGGGTGGTCAGAGCGGCCTGCCCCTGTCGTCTCCGCCTGAAGATCAGGGCCGTCTGTGGCAGTCACTGGCGGCGACTTCGTGGGGGCCGTCGCCGCCGCGGTGCATGCTCGACTCGTGGGCGTTCCAGTAGGATCCTGTTTCAGCCCTTGGGATCGGGGGGGGGGGGGGGGGGGGGGGGGGGGGGGGTGGGGGGGGGGGGGGGGGGGGGGGGTTGTAGCTTGGACCGTCAAGTTCCATCCTTTTTTTGGTTCCATGCTAGAAGTGCGCCCTAGGGGCCCGGGGAAGTACAGAGGTCAGGGCGCCCTGCAGGAGCTCCGCGAACGGCCCGGGGCCTAGGGTGCGCATTTTGTTCCCTCCAGAGGCCCCGTTGCGCGTTGGTGGCCCACTGTGGACTTCATCCTGTCTGATCTCGTCGGTCTCTGGAGCCATATGGGGGTCCCGTGAGGCCCGTGGGATTGGAGGGCGCCTCAGGGACTTGTCCGTCTCGGTGCCTGTGTCGTAGTTGTTGCCTCTGGCTCCGCGTCTCAGGTCCACGTCGGGCTGCGGTCTTCGGGTTGCCTGGGGGCTCGCCGATGACTCCATCAGAGACCTCAGTAGGCGCGCATATCAGAATGCTATCCGTGCCCTGCGCTGTGTCTTGCATGCGAGTCTTGGCAAGTTCCACCGGTGGGCCTTGCAGCCGGGCCAGCTAGGCGGCCGAGGTCCGCGCAGGAAGCTGAAGGACAAGCTTATCTTCGTAGGGGGGATGGGGGCCCGGGGTGGGCCTGCTCTCGACTCCTGTCAGAGAATGGAAGCGCGCGGCTAGATATGGGGCCTCAAGTGGAACAGGTACCCGCCCACTTTTCAGTGTGTTTTTGCTTTTTGGAGGAGGGCCTGGTCCGGGGCCAAAAAGTAGGGGCAGAGGGGTGTTTCGGTGGATTGCCTGACGAGGCCCATCTCTGCTCTACCAGATAGGGCGCCCGGTGTGTTTTTTCCTTGGTTGCCTGGGGTTGGCTTGGAAGACCTGGCGGGCGTGCTCTCGGAGGTTGAGAGGCGTTGCTGCTGGCCCTGGCAAGTTCTAGTCATCCTTGTCATTTTGCAAGCCGAAGATTTCGAGGCCGACAGGGCCATCGGGCCCCTGGCTTGGCTCGAGCGCTTCTGGGGCAGAGTGCGCAACGCGGACAGGGCGGCTAGGGCGCGAGGCGCTGCTGGGTCGTGGGGCACTGCCCTCGCATTGTCTTCTGCCGTGCATGTCGCCCTGCCTTGCTTTTTCCGTGGCGAGGAGGCGGCGAAGACAAGTTTTCCCAATTTCCTGGGCGGTGGCCTCCAGTGGGATGTAAAGGGGTTCTCCGGTAATCTTCGTTGGAGCCTCATCCTTGAAAAGGCTATTGAACTTGATTTCCCGCCTTGTTACCTGGCGCTCGAGCTGCGGGTGCACGTGGCGGTCCGATTCTTGCGTGACGGAGGTGGGTGCTCACCGCCAGTGGGGCTGTCTCATCCCAGGCAGCAGCGGCGCAGTTGATCTAGGTGGAGCTGCCTTGCACCATGTCCGCGCCCTGATGGCCGCGGGGGCGCGAGAGGGGACGGGCCTGCGCGCGTGGACCGAAGACATTGTCCAATGTGTGCGCGGGTCGCAAGCAGACCTCATGCTAGTTCGATGTCATGAGGAAGCGCGTCTTTCGGTGGACATCAAATCTAGCATCAGTTGCTCCAGCGCAGTTGTAGTCGGACACTTGCGGCAGCTTCTCATGGGCCACGAGGTAGAGATGCAGGTTGAGCTAGCGGCAGCCGGCCCAGGTATCGACAGAGGCAGGGTGAGCGCTGCACGTCCCAAGCGGGCATTCAGACCAGCTACATGTTTTGGTGCATGAAGCTGCCGACAGTCCAGCCCAAACGTGGGCCGAGCGTTCGAGGGCCCCCGAGGAGGATGGGGGCAGCCGCTCCGCCGCCCAATCCATTGCATAACAGGCCAGGCCACCTCGGTCATTCGCTTTGGGCTGGTGTTGAGGCCGATGGGGATAAGACGCCTCGCGGGAGGGTTCTGCCGCGGCAACTTCACGAGCATGAGATCCAGCTTGATCTCATTGCTCACGCGCCAGAAGGAGGTCTGCGGCCGAGGATCCGATGTAATGTCTGTGGTGGCTCTGCACCGCTTGCTCTGGCTGGTATTTTTTTGCTCGCTCCTTGCCATCCTGGGCTCTCTAATGGGGTTGTCCTGATTCCGAGAGCGCCCGCTGTGAACGGGCAATAACTCCACAGTTCCCGCCAGCTTGGGTTTTGCAAGAAGTGGGGTAGCGCTGTCTGTTCCAGCTGCAGCTTCATCTCGGCTCTCGCCGTGAGAAATTTGAAGCGCCAGTGCCTTGTTTTTTCTTGGGTTGAGCGACTGCGCAAACGCGTGCTGAAGAAGGTTGCCAAGGTGCAAACACCTGGCCGCAACAATGGGGCCATAGAGCAAGTGGCCAAGAGGCTACTCAAGTGATAGTGCAAATATGGCATTGCCAGGAAAGAGTCAATAAACACCTCCAGGGGGTCTTCTTGGCCGTCTTGGGGCCATCTTTTTCCGTTTTGGGCTGGCGAGGACCCGGAAAAAGAGAGACAGCGAAAGTATGCCAACTCCGCATAGGAAGTCAACCGTTTTAGTTTTGTTGGGATCATGTTGGGTGCCCTCTTGGGGCCCTCTTGGGCCGTGTTTGGGGCCTCGTAGTCTCCCGAGGCCATGTTGGGCCATTTTGCGGCCATCTTGGGTCGATTTGGAGGCATCATGGGCCATCTTTTGCGGCATTGGTTGCTTGTCCCGGCCGTGCTGGAAGACATTTTCTTGGCATCGACCGGGCGTGTGTTTTTTTGCGTCCTCGGCGAGGAGCATCGAGGAGCATCCTGGATCGTCTTGCGAAGCACCGGAAAAAACGCGCACGACATCAAAACAGTGCACGAAGAGTGAGCGTCCGAACGAGGGCGAGCCCTGGGAATCTCGGGCGCCCTGGAGGGCCCCCCCAGGCGGAGCGCCGGGGCGGCCAGGAAGCCTCGGTGGGGGACGGGGGGGGGGGCGACGCGCGCGGCAAGGCCTGGGGGCGGGCGGGTGGGGTGATCCCGGAACGGAACAGCAAAACTCAGAAGAGATGTCGTCTTCTCCAAAGAAGAGAAGCGCCAGAAACAGGAATTTTTGGCGCTCCGCGCGGATGTCTCGGATCGGCGCTTGGGGAGACGGGCGGGTGAGGGGATCCTGG